AAGCAGAACTCACTGTGGGACACCTTCCGGGGGAAGGCAGGCTGAGCAAGTCTTTGAACGAGGACTGAGGGACAAAAGCCACTGTCTCTGCCAGCACCGAGACCCTCACATTCCCACCAGCTTACAGAAGGTCTTAGCGGTGACATGGAGTCAGACATGAAGATGGCTGGGAAGGCCACATGCTCTCCTCAGGCAGGGGAGACGGAGGACGACTCAGACTTGTGGCTTCTGACCCTGAACTTCTCACACTCACTCCAAGCTCACAGTGAAGCTCAAGATACCGAGAAAAACTTGCTAAGGAGCTGGTGGGCCCAAGCTCTGCGGGCCCTGATTCTAAATGACCGACTCTACGGGGCACGAACCAGTGACCCAGCAAAAGTTCCTACTGACACGGGAAAGCCACACTCTGGAGAAATGCCGCCGCTGGCCAACATTGCCTGCAGGACCTGCCTACCCATGTGCTCTTACCGAACATTTTTCAGCATGTACAAAACCTCTGATGGCAGGTGAGAATTCTTCACATCAAACTCTGTGAGATCAGCCTCCAGCAGGGAGGGTGGTGGTTCCTTGGGCTGCAGGGTGGGGGATTCCTTCTTGAACCGCAAAATCCTATGAGAGACATACTCACCTTGAGCAAGAACCAGGGAATTTAAAACCAATACTATATGCTGGGGAGGTAGCTCAGTGGTCAGTGCTTGCCTAGTATATGGGCCACTGGGCTTGATCCTCGGGCCTGAGACACACACTTGCAGGCACACACACAACACATGCATGTTCCAAGTACTCAAACTCAAGAACACTATCCTTGTGCCTCTGAGGTAGGAGGAGTCACAGCAGTAGTAAGGACCTTGGTGCCCACCAAGGATAGAACTCGTTTACCTCTTGGCCAGCAACAGCACCTTGGTCCTTTTCCTGGCCCGCTGCCGGGGTGCAGCTGTGTTCCCCACAAGTGTGTTGGGGAGTGTGCTCATCTGTAGTCAAGGGAGATGCAGGTCACAAGTCTGTGACTCACAAGGTGTGCACTCTCAGCCCCAGCAGAAGCCCTTAGGATCTCAGAGGGGCTGCCCACAGTCCTGGCACCAGCTTCCAGGCTCTGAGCAGCCTGCTGGGCAGCTAACCAAAGGGCTACAGGGGCTCAGCTCAGCCTGCCTATCCCCAGATCAGAGCTCCTTAACCACCAATTTGTTCCCCTTTTACCTGGAACTAGGAATCAAACCCAAGACTTTTTCACAAAGATATATCCTCAACCCTTTTTTACTTATTATTCTGAGACATGGTCCCAGTAATCCACCTTGGCTGGACTGAAGCTTATGGCTCTCTTGACTCAGCCTCCCAGAGTGCTGGAGCGACAGAAGGGAGCCACCACGCTAGCTACTACCTACCCGGTTCTCGAGCCCACACACAGAGGACAGGGGTTTGTGCTCAAGAGGTCCTTGGATTGCCACAGACACTGGAGAGACAGCAATGAAGCTTTCACCTCAGGACACACTCACAGGTCCACAGGGAAATCAGGCCCCAGCGCCCAGGGGGCTGGCCTTCCTCAGTGCAGCCCCTCAGTCTCAGAGATGCCACCAGAAAGCAGCTGTGCACTCTCATTTCCTGCAGAGCTCTGTGTTGCAAGGAGCTGACGGGGCCTCTGACCTCGCACTCCCCAGGCCCCTTCCCCATGGAAGCCCCTGCTGCATCTAGGCCTAAGGTACAGCCTGAAGTATGTTTCCAGTTTGGCTCACAGCATGGCTTGTGAAACCCCCAGCCTGGCACCCACTGTCAGCGGCCACAGAGCTAGACAGATGGCACAGACTGGAGCTTCGGGCCTGGGGCTCAGGGCCTAGCAGAAGACCCAGGGGTTTACCTTCCTCATGATCTTCCGGCCATAAAACATTACTTTGTCTCTCTTCCGGAACCTGTACTGAGGTGTGGGCTGCACCTGTCCTGTGAGGGGTGGAAAGGGGCACCATGAGATGAGAGGGGTCATGAGCTAATGCAAAGTCCTGGCCAGGCCCTGCATAGCTGGTGCGAGGCATCAGCTGTGCCCCTGGCTTGTCTCTGCCCTGCCCTGAGACAGCACACAGGCTCATCTCAGAAATGTCTCTGATGGGGGCTGGAGAGATGGCTCAGTGGTCTAAAGCACCTACTTGAAACAAGCTTGGCAAAGCACAGGG